GTTGGGGGCGATATGCTGACTCTGTAAACCGCTTAGAGAGGGCTGAAAGCCCTATGAAGCGGTATATAAGTCTAACTGCTATTGCTATTGATATACGACAACCGTCAAACATACAGGCCAGTTGCCACGTGCCTGGATTTTGAGGATGCAACGGCCGTTAAGTGTGAAAAACTGAGTCACTTTTTTCAGCACCGTTGTAACTTCAAGCAGTCACTAAATGAACAGTTGTAAGTTAAGGTGTTTTAAACGTCTGGATGTCTCCTCTAACTAGACTTCCTTCGTTTGGCTGAACTTCTGTGATTGTTTAAAACATTATTTCAGATAGACTTTAATTGTGCATTATAGCACTTTAATCACATTTTATTGCCTTATTCCCTAATCAAATCTGGGGATAGAATGTCTCCCTGACTGTCAGCTAAAGGAGCATCTTCCCAGATACGTTTTATTGAATACGTTTCTGCTTAAATATGATTTAACCGGGCCCTGGTGGATTATTTCCGTTATCCTCCGACACGCACGGCGCGTAAAATTTCAATCCCTCAAATGAGGGAGACATAATCTTTACGCGAAGGGCACTTTAATGAAAACCGGGGTAGAAGCTCCTGCATTTCAGGTTTCAGGTGGGAGACAAGAATGCTACGGTAGATTTAATAGAGTTAAAAACAACAAGGGCTTCTCAACACGAATGAGAAAAAGATAAATGTAGAGAAATTCCCTCCCTGTTCATGTGGCCTCACCAAGAAAATCAATTAATCAAAGGACGACCCACCTTACGTCAAAAGAAAAAAGGTAGCAACTCTAGATTACACATACAGGCAGGCCTCGAATGACGGCCACAATCGAGCCCAAAATTTCTGCTGCTAAGCGAGGCGTTTGTTAAGTGAGTGTTGTCCCATTTTATGACCTCTCTTACCACCACTGTTAAGTGAATCATGTCAGAGTGTGCACAGTATGACTACTATTTTGAGACTCCCCAGGAGCAAAATACAGTGCAGAGAGGTTTTGTCTTTTAAGCAGCGGTTTATCTGCAAGAGTTATACACACATACGTACAGGTATTAGGCAAACCCTAGGCAAGCAATCAATCTTCAACTATAACACAGAGGACTACAATGGAGATTGTAGAACACGAGGAGAGAGAGAGAGAGGCCTCCACATGGCCTCCTTATATAGACAGCTTCTTAAAGTGGAAGCAATCCTGCTGCTGACTCATCCCCACATCACCATCTCGGTTTACAGCCTTACAGCACTACTGATCAGCTATTAAACGGCCATCCCCCCTGGCAAATCACTTCAGGGGTTCTGTTAGTAGCCCGGTTGTTAAGTGAACCTGGCTTCCCCACTGAGGCTGCTAGCCAGAAGGCCTCCGAAGGGCAGCCTGAGTTGCCAATATTCCCTCCGACTGGCGAAGGCTACCTCGTGCCCACGCTCCAAAAGTACTCAGGGGGCCTCCTCTTATGAAGTTTCACCTTACCTTCCCCCGACGGAGAAGTCTGAGATGGCGTAATAGTAAGACTGGAGCACTTTGGGGTCTTTGAAGATGTCATCCCCGAAGGTGTTAAGGCGATCCAAAGAGATCAAGAGATCGGTACAGGTCACCCATTCCTGCAGAATAACAGAAATACTGAATGCAACTCACTGGTCTGGAACGAACATTTGCAAAAGACTTGAGGAACATCAAGAAGAACCATTTTCAAGTCTACTATCCAAGAGCCTTTAAACTGGAGATGGCCATGATTGAATTATGAATTCTTCGTGTCTTTTATTAGGTCTTTCCAAAACCAACAGAAGAGTTTTGGAGGCTTCTAAACTAGAGTTTTCCCAGTGGCAACAGATGGCTGTGAAGGTTGGACCATAAGGAAGGCTGAGGGCCAAAGAATGGAGGCCTTTGAACTCTGGTGCTGGAGAAGAAGACTCCTGCATTGAGTCCCTTTGGGCCATCCAACTGGTCAGTCCTACAGGAGATCAACCCTGACTGCTCTTTAGAAGGCCGGATCCTGAAGAGGAAACTCAAATGGCCATGCTGGGAAAGACTGAGGGTCTAATGCTGGGAAAGATGCTGGGAAGAAGAAAGGGACAACAGAGAAGGAGGTGGCTGGATGGAGTCACCAAAGCAGCCAGCTCACACTCATACTGAGTACATCTCCATATATCATGCTTCAGAAATTCCTTTCCCTCGGATGCAACGCGAGCTGGAAGGAAGCAAAAGGCAGGAAGAATTCCATTAGGGCC